TTACAAGGCATGTAAGTAAAAACTTGCATAATCTGAAAAAAGATATTAGATAGAAAACAGTAATAAAATTAACATTATTCTTTTAAGAAACTTGGTAATAAATACATTTCCCCTCACCATTAAAATGCTTGTATTTTTCACAACAATAAATACAGTGTAGCTCTGGCATAGACAAAGGCCAAGGCTGGATACAAGAAGTCCGTGTGGTTTCTTTTATAAAAGCTCAGGTGATTTTTTTAAAGGTTTGGCATCTTGCACTTGATGCACTTTGATACAATTTGCACTTTGATTTTATTGTTTACTTTGATTTTTAAATAGTCCCCATAGTATGAAAATATGAGAGGAAAACTTATTTGATTATAGGGTTTTTCCTTTAAATATTTTCAAAGTAATAGATGTGTAAACTCATGGAAACCAATCTTACAAATTAAAAAAAAAAAAAATAGAAGTGTCTTGGTGGCTATTTTACAAGAAAATGCAGCGTTTTCAGCTGTGGGTGCTTAAGCCTTACCAGCCAACTGGCACAGAACCAATCCCTAGTCAGTTCCTCACTTCTTTACACAGTTTTCCAAAAAATAGTAAGAAGAAAGAGTAAAGAGTGTAATATTCACTTCCCAAGTCATGATGGTTTGAGGTTCTTACGCTATTATCCAAAGGTGACAGGAGAAAAAAAATAGGTACTTTCCAGAACATTTCCCAGCATAACTTTGGGTCATTCTGGTCTATACTTTTCTTTTAAAACTACCAACAAAAGAGAAAGAGAGATACTTCCATGCACTGTGCTGTTCCTATGCCAGCACATTTCATCACAATCATAGCTGTGAATCTAAGTCATTTTTATAGCCCAATCTAATATAGATTATTTCCCACAACATAATGTCCACATAACGCCACAAACTCTGGCAGAGTCCAACGTTCTTAAAGTACCGATAGGTCATGGCAAGATTTGGACTTGAGTTTGAAGGCCATATTCTTGTTGTTCTTGGCAACTATTTTGCCCCAGAACCGCCGGGCTTTCTTGGGAATGCTCTCTCTTCGCTTCTGGTAGGCCAGGCGCTTCTCATTCTTTTCCTTGCTGTCCCTCCGGAGCCGGACTTGTCGCACAATGCCTTCGAAGAGCTCTTTGACGTTGTGCTGCACGGCGGCCGAGGTCTCGATGAACTTGCAGTCGAACACAACGGCGCACGCTCGGCCCTCTGCAAGACAGCAAGGGGATAAGTCAGGAGGCGGCGGCGGGAGCAGGGAGGGAGCCAGCACCAGCTGGGGAATTCCTCTATCCTAATATAGGCAGGGATAAGTCTTTAATCACCTTAGGCTGCCTTCTGGCCTGTGTCAGACTCCCTGCGCAGTGACGGGGAGCGAATCTCCTTCTGGAAAAGCCCAGCTCCTGGTGTCAGCTGTGTGGGCACTGAGGCTGACTCACACTGAGGCATCGGTGGCCAAGAGCTCAACACCGACTCGGTCACCTACTCATCGTGCCACCACGTGCACACTCTCATGAGTCACATTAAAAGGTGATGACAGTGCCCTCCATAAGCAAAGCACAGCCCTTTCTGCCGTAGAAGGTGAGGCCCAGTCCTCCTCTATGGGTCATATATAATAAAAAGGATCTTTGGATAGTAAGAATTTTGGTGTGAGCAGACACATGCAAAATTTCAATGTAAATGCAGAACTGTGTCCACAACATCAGGGGTCAGTCTGAAATCTTAGTTCTTACCCTTAATTACTTGAACATAAATTTAACAGTCTTCTATATGAGAATGTACCGGCCATCTCTCTCTCAAAAGAAACCACATTTTTCAGCTTAGGCCATAGAAAAATGAGAGGAAGATAGGAAACCCTGGACTACTAGTAAGCTACCTCATTTCAAACTCTTCACTTTTGGCAACTGTGACAGAGGCCAGAGGAGCTTTGTACATCTCCAGGGAAAAAAACATCTAGACCAGTCAGGAAACAGAAGGAGAACAGCTGCAGAAATGAGGAAATGCCAGGTAGAGGAAACCACATTTCTCATGAGTTCTGGCTAAGATAAGATAATGTAATGACTTACTGTGTATTATATAACGTCACCTAAACCCAAGGGCTGTTTTAGCAAGGTCTAAATCAAGGCCCCAAGGAGAGTTCTCCCAAAGGGCAGTCCAGTCCCTATGTGTCACATTTCAAGCAACACGAACTATAGCAGAGCAGAGGCTATGGCCATGTCTAACCTGCACGTGTTGACTGACTCAGGCATTAGCCAGGCTGTCTCCTACCTGAGTTTGTTTGGTGACGGTCAGGTTTTATAGGGTAGGTTAATGCAGGTAGGCTGCTTCCAGTCTTATATAAGCAGGACTTCATAGTACCAGACTGAGCCAAAGGGACTTCATGTCCCTGCCACCAGCAGAAGGATGTTTGTACCACCCTCCATGTTCAAAGAGCTGGGAGTTGTTAGAATAGCAAAATAAAGGGTGGAAGAGAGTGCAAATTCATCAGCAAGTTAAATGCTAGAGAGGAAAGATAACTAGTTAAACTAAGGAATTATCTTTGGCAGCAAAGTGCCCTAAACTGATTGTTCATAAATATGTACCGGAAATTCAAAGTGTTTCCAGCTACCAAAGCAGCTTTTTTGATGGACCTTGATAAATTTAGGAAGGGGATTATCTCACATGGCAATTACACCACCAAAGTAGGCTTAGAGACCTAGCGAGTTCTTTCCAATCTCCTGGTCAGTGTCCCAGTCCTCTATTCTTTTACTGCTCTTTTATTGCCCAGTGCTGATCAGTGGCAGACAGAGCTCTGGGTTTTGTTCAAAAGCTATCAAATCACTCTTAAAAGTTTACCTTACTTTTGTCCTCATCACCTTCCTTACCTGCCACTGAAACTTCGCGGCACCTCACAAGGTCACTTTTGTTGCCAACCAAAATAATGGGTATATCTTCTTTCTGGCGTGCCCGGCGGAGCTGTATTCTGAGTTCAGAGGCCTTCTCAAAGCTTGCTCGGTCTGTGATGGAGTAGACGATCAAATATGCATCTCCCACTTGCATGCAGTGGTCTCGAATCCATTCTCCTTCGCGCTGTTCAAATGAAATGGTCTGTCATCATTAGGCATGGGAAGGATAACATTACAGCATCCAAGCCCATTCCTGGTGTAACTGCATTGGGTATGGTTTGAATCATAATTATACTAAAAGTAATTCCAAAGTGCTGATGATATGAATACATCACCACAAAGGAGGGCAAAAGTTAGTCCAAAGAATTCATTGTGTTGGCTTTAGACTGGAATGAATGTGATGCTAAAGCAGGGCTTGCCATTTTTTGTTCTATCATTAAAGAAGGAAAACAGGCAAAAAGCCCTTGTTCTTCTCCAACTCACACTGCATAGCCCTTACACATACCTGGTTTGGCAGGGGCAGAGGGTGTCTAATCATATTGTACAGAAAACAGCTACTTTCCTTCCCCAGAGATGCCTATTTTTGACATTAATACACTTGCATGTGCACTTTTATTTTAGCATTTGACTGCAACAAATAAATGTACCTTATTATCCCACATGTCCAGCAGTATAATGGTTGCACTTTCACCATCCACCATCAGGGTTCTTTCATATGTGTCTTCTGGAAGGAAAACCAGAAATATTATTTTGTGGCATCAGGTACATCACAAAAAATAAAACACATGTAATCTGTTCATGGTTCAAGCTAGTGAGCCAGATTTTGTGTTGGCTCGCATTCCATTTTTTCCTCATTTCTTTCAGCACTGAACCTGCCCTCTGTTCATTGCTAGCTGTATTACTTTCCATGATAAATGAACGAGACTAAAAGATCATGAAACAAAATGTTCATTATTTTGGCTGATATTCTCTTTATCTTATGTGGGAGAGAGAAAATAGAACCCGTGGAAGAAATAACCAAAGAATGAACATTTGCCCCATGGGAGTGTCAGAGTCCAGCGAGGCTGAGTAATGGAAAATATTTGCTTTCGCTTTAGCAGGGACAGTTCACGGGTGAACAGTCACTGCTGCTGAGAGCGACTCAGCTAGCAGCCTGCCGAGCAATGAGGACAGGGCTTCGCCAGACTGGGGCTGCTGAGCTTTACAGACGCTGAGGTTGGTCTCCCATCTTAGAGCTTCCAACATTAGCTTTGATGTCAAAAAGCAAAGGAGTCAACAAAACTCAGAAATTCAATTATTTGTTACTAAAGCCACAAAAATTCATATCTAAGTTACAAACACCATGTGACTAAGCGCTGCTTAGACCTGGGGGAGTTCTTCCCACCAAGAGTGAAGATTAATCCTTGCTGTGAAATCTCAGTCTACCTCTTGTTTCAAGTCCTAAATCTCCCTTTTTCCTTCTGAATCCAGGGACATTTGGAAGAGCACTACAGGATTTGGACCCATCTCAAGTCTTGTGCTGCTGCTCAGTGAAAACTGCCAGGTTTTGGGTGTGCAGCTACTTTCAGTGCACTGTTGAAGGGGCTGCCCCAACCGCGCCTGCAGATAGGGCTGTGTCTTAGTTCTTGCCTCATAAAATGTCTGCTGGACTTTGCTGGAGCAAACCTTCTCCTAAAATGCAATAATCTCCCTTAGATGCCAGGAGTCTGTGTCCATGAAAAACCATGAGCCAAAAATATTACATATTTAAAATAAAATCAGCTACTGCCTACTGAGAAACTTTGTAAACAAGAGCAAAGGGCTGACACAACTTAAAATGGAGATATTAAAAAGACAGTCTAATCAAGTGGAGAAGTTCCCCTTGGCATGGCATTTATGTTTACGAGTTAGGTTAATCCTATAGTCAGTAGCAAAAGCAGTCCACAACAGCTATATTTGTTCTGTGAACTGGCTATTGTGAAACTATATTGTGAAACTCTTGCAATAAAATTTCCACTTTGCAAGCTAGAGTTTGGGGAATAGTTTCTTCAACTGACCAAGCAGCTGCATAGGAACGAGTATTATACACACTAGAGGCAGCCTTTAGAGGACTACTTCTCTAGTCCCTGTTGTACTTGGAGAAGCTGCAAACATCCAAGCACACACCTGGAAAATGCAATGCCCAAATGGGCATATTCAACACCCACTTGCACCCTGGTCAGTCCTAAGGAACTTCCATGGGATATTAAACACAGTGAAACTGAGCAATTAGTTCATCTCATGCTTATTTCAAGGTTGACACTGAAAAGGAGAAATATTCTAATGGGAAATTTTCTGATGCCTCAACAGACCTGGCCGTGAAAACCTGAGATGGCTGTGCTCTAAGCAGTAATGCTAAGAGACCAAAGGAAAAAAAAAAAAAGAAAAAAAAAAGTTTCCTGTGGAGGAGAAGGAAACGGTCTGACAATGAGGGGTAGAGAAAATCAACTGCATTTGCTGACTGATTGCCCAGATGGTCTAACCTAGTTCACTGGTGCAGCACCAGGAAACATTTTATCAGACATATCCCAGATTGAAGGGTGGCTGGTGGGATGACAGGAGAGGTCAGTGGAAGCTGAAGGCAGAACTCAACTGGCTTAGAGTCGCTGCACAGCAGCAACTTCAAATTCCCCAAAGGCACCATGATTTCTCCTCTCTGTTTGTGAAAACTCACAAGGAAAACATGGATTCTGCCTTCGTAGTTCTGGGTTCTGCTACCTCTCCTAGTTGGAGAGGTAGAGGCACCAAAAGCTTATGCTCCTCTGAAGGCCGGAGCAGAAGTCCTGTGTGCTGGCTCCGTGTGCTAGCACTGGTGCCCTCGTGCAAGGGGAGCAGGCAGGACGCGGTGTAGTGTTACACTGGGGAAAGGAAAGTTGTGTGCACTGACCCTACAGAGCCAGAGGTGACACAGCAGCTTCCAACAGATATTTTAAAATGAAATAGTATGAGAATCTGAACTTTTCTCTTTCAGACACTCTAGCTCCCCATTACCTCCTTGTTGCTCGTTTTCTTGAGACACGTGTTGCAATCGGTTTTGATGCTCAGACCCCAAGTGTTGGTTACCTCGGTTTCAGATTAAATGGCTTTGCTAATTTTCTGTGCTATTGGCAAGGCTGCCAAGGAAACACAAGCTCCCCAGGCCATTGGGACCTACCTCCAAGCACCTCGCAGTCGCTGTCAATGCTGTCGTGTACCCCCGCAAAGATGTTGGCCAGCGACGACTTGCCTACACCATGCTCCCCAATCAGCACCACCCGGTAGCAATTGCTGCCAGACTCAGAGGAGATGACAGAGTCGGACGACTCTGAGGACCAGCTTCTCCTGTAGTAATCGTCAGGATTGATGGTGTATCGCTTCTGCGCGTTGTATTCGTTGGAGTCCTTCTTGACCAGCAGGTGCTTTCCATCAGCGGGGATGCTCCATCGCTGCTGCTGCTGCTGCAGGCCGTTGTTGTTGGTGCGACGCATGGTAACGTTGTTGAGGGTCATTTTTCTGCCCTATCAAGAAACATGAAGACCACAAACGTCACCCACAAAGCATTTCAAAACGTATTAACACTCTCTTATTAACTTAATTGTAGCATATCCTGCTCTTCTGTAGGTACCTAGCATGCAGAAAGAAAAATGAGAAGGAAAAGGCAATGCCACCAGCACTGTCGTGTTGGGGAGCACACGTATTGCTGTGCCCCCTCCAACACGGCCAAAGGCAGGACTTACAGGCAGCACTTATAGGTGCCAGTCCCTACTCTTGGTGCACAACAGGAGACAAACGAAAGGACGAGCCCTAGTGGTCTCCGAGCCCCAACGTGGTTGGGTGAACAGGGTGGGATGTGTGCGCCCCACGCCATGTCCCATTCCCTACGCACTCCTGGCACAGACAGGCTGGGCCCTCCAGCAACGTCACCCGCACGCACACAGTCACAAAATAAAGCCCATTTTCCTTGCAGCTCCCACTGCCTCAGTTCAAAGCTGAGTCTTGCAGGAGAGCAGTAGGCATCACATGCCTCACGCTAGCAAAGAATGATGCAAACACATCTTGCTGTAACGGAGGATTTTGGCGGAATTTGGAACTCGTCTATAAACAAAAAATAACTACTGCACAGAGTGGCATTGTGGCAGCTAGAAGTGAGGACACAATCCTCTGTGGTTTTTCTGAGAAGGGGCTGAATCTGACCTCTGAAGAAGGTATCTGGGAGAAAAAGCTCATAGAGTTACAGATATTTTACTCAACAGCTTAATTTGCCACAAAACCAGCTAGCTCACGTTACCTACACCTATTTGCTCACTAGCGTAACTAGCTAGCTCACCTTACCTGAGCATGGCTCTTAATTACTTTTTACTTGGGAAACCCAATTTCGCCTTGGCTGGAGGCAGTGAGGTGATGTCATTGTCACGGGCCAACAGCTACCATTTTTAGGAAAGTTCCTTTGATGCATTCCAGTCCCCAAAGTGACAGTTATTTAGACATTTTGTGTTTTGGCATACGTCTGATACTTCTTAGCTCTGCTCTCCGTACTAATGAATAGCCTATCTGTCAGCACAATGCATCAGAGCACTTTCAACAACAAATTCCAAATATTTTGAGTAAGAAGTAGTGAAGGAAAACAAGTGCAGCAATACATTGGAATGACATGCACAAACTGTTTTTCCTATTCACATAAAGCTTTCTGAAAACTCCTTAGAATAAATGCACAGCAGGTCGTAGACCAAACGTGCAGAAAGAGCACATTCTAAGTAAACTTGCTCCAACTTAGGCAGTATTTTCTCTGTAATGCACAGTGCCTTGTGGCACATTGGATCATATGCATAGTCACAGGCAGAATAACTTTGCCAGGAAAAAATACAGCTAACTAGAAGCCAAGCACAAAGCAAAGATCGCTTCACAAATAAAATCCTTTTTTTACCACACACACTTTTAAAATCTGCCTTTTTTTTCCCTTGTAGTTTCCCCACAGAAAAGATGCATGAGAAAAACCAGCCATAAGTCAGTGAAACAATAAACAGCCTAATGACTATCTTCAATTAACACTTAATCAATAAACAGTCCCAGACATAAACATTTTATAATTTTCTTCCTTTACAAATCACCACCTATCACTAAACAAATCCCAGTGGACAAAGCCTTAGAACTCACTACTGCACATAGCATTCTCAGCTCTAGTTATTTTCACACCACAAACTGCATTTGGCTGTTTGGGGCTATAGTTTATCTATAGGAATCTCTGCTTCCAGACCAGTGCCTTCCAGCCTTACTTTTGACGGGCTCTTCCCCACAGTCAGTCCTTCGCTCTCCCTGCTCTTCTCTCTCCGTGCAGTGTGTTGCACGGAGCTGGTCTGCGCGAGTAAATCCTCTTCTGCTTACGGGCTGCCTCTTTAATTCGCTCTCCGCAAACCTGGTTTATATTAAGCCCATCTGATCAGGGACAGGGCTTTTCCGTGACGTGTTTGGCCTTTCCATACAACAGCCAGCCCCCAGCTGGGAGGAAGCGGACATGCAGAAGAGCAAAAACTTACAAACAGGCGCAAAGCCTTCCTTGAAATCATATGATTCTCCTAACATTGCCAGTAAAATAAACACATCTGATTGAATTTGATGATGAAAACAATGAAGTGGAAAAATATATTAAAAAAAAAAACCAAAAATAACACATGCTATTTCATCATCACACAGTTTTTCAGGCAAGTGTTACTAAAACTGATGATGTTTTAAAATGACCTAAGTTTTGTTAATGTACAAAATGCTGCAAATATGTTATATTGTCTGTCTGCAAAATGCAATGGATTAAGTGCTGGAAACAAAAATGGGTTTTTTTGAATAAAATATTGCAATGTTACTTTGAAGATAACTCAAAAGTAGGACAATTATTTTTTAGCCTCCATGTCACTGCATCCAGCTTTTGGAGTCCCATAATCAGTTCTCACTTCTGCTCTAACTTTTTACTAGCAATAGCTTAAAAAAAACAGCTAACCACAAATTCTGTGTGACTCCAGGTTTACAGTGGTATGGATGTAGCAGCATTAACGAGCACAAAGTCAGAATAGCAGAGTAGAGCTTATGCAATCCATAGTTTATTAGGAAAGATGAATACATAGTGTACATGGTGCAAAATAAGAGCCTGCTCCTTAAATTTGAATAATAAATAATAATTTGAATAATAAACTAGTTGGTAAGGAAACCACAAGTTATATAAAAGTATATGGAAACTCTATAGTTAACTCTCTATTATCTAAATTCTGGGTTAACTGTGATGAGCTCAAAGACAAGCTCCAAAAATTTTCTATTTACAATCTCCCCCCAAATCAACAAGTGACCGTAATTTTATACTGCACTTTAGTCTGAACAACTCGATCCATTTCTGAACAGGGCAAAAATATTTTCCCATGACCCAATTTTTTTTGGTTACAGACAAGTAAGACCTTAATTAGACATAAATCTTCATCAAAGAGAATAGTACAAGCAGAAAAGAACACCAAGTACCATGTTTGCACTTAATCACATGCCTCCACACTTCTGTGCTTTGACTAAAACCTGTAAAACTGATTTGTGGCCCTTTAGTAACTTCTGCAACTGAAAGATGCTCACGTTATTCCCCGCTTTGATTTTGTTGCATTCCTGTCTCTTTCATGGGGATTTTCTGGGACCTTCTGAGCCTGTCCCCAAACCCAATAAACACCATGCCCAAGCACAGGCATATTACTTTCCCCAAATATATGCTCACATTAAAGTATATGGAAATTATTCAGATCTGTTAGCATGGTACTTGGACAAAACTTACTGCTTGGCAGCAGCTGATCTGGCTCCAGATCCTAGTCCCCACTCGTGGGTCCCCAGCACAGCTGACTCCGAGTCTCTGCTGACACGCAGTCACCTCAAAGAGCACCAAGTAGCCCGTCCCTCCACATGGCAAGAAAAACATATCCACGCCAGGAACGGAGATTTATAGCCAGACTGATCTCAGCAGAACCGTAAGCTCTAACGTCTCACCTAAAGGTTTAACTCATATCATAGCAGTAAGCATAGACAGGAGAAATAAACCAAAGTCAGAAAAGCATTTGTGTTTAGTTATGGTTAGTCTTAGATCAGGAACTGCTAGACGTCAACTTGCATAAATCCTTCCTAAAATTCAAGGCAGATGAAGAAAACCTGGTTCTCCAGCAATCACAGAACCATCCATAGGGGTCCTCTCAGCTGCACTGTGAAATGCTCATGCTTGGGAAACGTGCACACATATTTTCCCTTGTGCTTTCTCTTCTGATTCTACACCACATGTGACCCTGGACAGCTCTGTCCTCTCATGCTCTTTGCTGGTCAGTGATTCTGCAGCTATAACTGCCTGGGATTCAGGCACAAGAAGTGACGAGCACAAAGCCAGGCACTGCCATCGAGCATAGGGGCCACTCGGTGCAGCCCGTTGGAGCAATATTAAAACTCAGAGCAATTGCTCTACTCATTTTAACCATTCTGTGCCTCAGTAACCATGTCTTAAAGGAATACTCCCTGCAGCCAAGATGAAATAAATACTGCAGAGCAACAGGTCTGCCATCCCTCGCTGGACGCTTGCAATTAGAGCAGGTGATGCCCAGAGCAATTACGCAGAAGTTTTCCATGAGATATAAAACAGAAGTGTTTTTTTAGCTGATATTAAACTAGCCGTTTTGTGTTTATGTACAGGAAGGTGAAAGCAGCTCCTCAAATTGCCTTCTAGCTTCAGGACCATCCTTAGAGAAGGCTTCAATCAAAATGGAGAGGGAGGAAAATGCAAGAGGAAAAAAAAAAAATATTAAACTAGCCGTTTTGTGTTTATGTACAGGAAGGTGAAAGCAGCTCCTCAAATTGCCTTCTAGCTTCAGGACCATCCTTAGAGAAGGCCTCAATCAAAATGGAGGGGGAGGAAAATGCAAGAGGAAAAAATAATAAAAAAAGAAGGAACAACAAAATTCAAAATTGTTTTAATATACACAGAACAAAGAGTGTCTGAAAGTGCACTCTCTCCCTGTACTTTTAGCAAAAGAATATTCATTCATTTTTCCCATTACAGCACCCAGCCTGGTAAACTGCACTCGCAACAGTTGAACCACTTCCGCTCCCTTCCCTTCCTCTCCTCCACAGCATCACAGTATTTCACACTTTTTACCAGCCCTCACATCTGTCACTGTCCTCAGTGCCAGTTCTCAACCCACCAATAGCCTCAGAAAGAAACATTTTTGGCTCAGCTAAGCGTGACGCTGGGCTGGGTGCAGGACACACTGGGAGTAAGCTCAGAAAGCAAGGACAACATTTTTGGCTCAGCTAAGCGTGATGCTGGGCTGGGTGCAGGACACGCTGGGAGTAAGCTCAGAAAGCAAGGACAGAACAAAGAGCACAGATATATGTAAGAATTAGACCCATCACAATAGGACCTAAAACTTATTTCCACTATGCATGCACAGCTTTGCCTTTGGCTTTCCTGCTGCATCCTCAGTGACCAGGCGAGAAGTTCCAGACCGAACACAAAAGGTAGGGGGGAAAACATAGTCTGAAATCAGGAGGAATGAGCAAGATCAATGAAGGAGAATCAGTGGGGACTGTAATCAACTTGAGAAAAGGGTAGAGAAAGTGACTTGGAAATTAAGCAATAATAGAACTTTGATTTTTATTTTTTAAACAAAACAGAAGCAAAAACATGTTAAGGTGCTTCATCACTCAAAAAACAAACAAACAAAAAGTTTAACAAAAAGGCCCCTGCTCCCCTTGGAAGAGCAGATTTGATGGACTGCAATTCCCAGCAATTGCTTGCAGAGGGCACTGAATTTGTTCCACCATCTTCCTTTTCCCAATACTGCGGCAGCATTTCCATTGGTTAAATGATCACTAAAGGCAGAACATGATGCTCTGATGACAGAGCACAGCGATAGGGAAGAAGCACTGATCTGTACGTCTTGTGGCTAACAGAGCATTGAAGGTAAAACTCCACACTGGAGCTTTCAGATAGGATTGTGCTTAATAAGCTACCCCCTAGGGATCCCTTCATTAGTCTATTATTTGCAGATAATCCAGACTCTGATGTCCCAAAAGGGAGGTCTGACTCATATCTGTGCACTGCAGAGTCCTTCTGACTGTAGCAAGGGGAAAATACCTTTCATTCCCCCTGCATTAAGCTGACATAGCAGAATATTAAGCGAAGACTGAGATGTGAGCGGTAAACAGAAGCATTGCCACTCGGCTTATAATAAAACAGAAGTTTTAATCTAGTTAACTGAAAAGAAAAACAGACAAAAACAAATGTTATCTGAGGGGGAAAAAAAAGAATAACGATATAGTGAAACAATTATTTCAGTTTAGGAAAAAAAATTGCCTATTTCCTGCGTTTGCATTGAATGATGTTGAAGAATTCTGCTGATAATTGTCCAAGGAAAAGGATTATGTCATGTATGATATAAACAATGGTGTTTTTCAAATGAAAAAAAAATGTAATATTCTAATCATAGTATGATGTGGGTTTGCCATAAGTATTCTTTGAAATCAGATCTCAAATCAGAAAAATGGTGCCAGTGTCGAGCATTTTTGCAGTTATGATTTTGCAGTATATCACAGTCCTCAGAGGAGTCAGGCTGGTGAGTCATGGTCTGCTTTTCAACCACAAGAAATCTGGTTTGCCATTAAAAAAATCCTACTTGCTCTTAGAGTATTAAGTCATGATGGTAATCTAGTGATAGACAACTTTTGTCTCAGCAAAGTGTAGGCTAGAAATTGTCAGTGGCATAATATGGGTCTCAGAAATGTTGAAGAGAAATTCAGAAGAAAGTCTTTTGGTCCAGCTGGAGTTTCTTCCTCTTCATTGTGATACCAAAGACTCTCCCGTCAGGAGCTGGTGGTTATGGTTACCAAGAATCAGGGGCACTCAGTTAACTTGTTTCGTTTCACTGGAAAATACAAAGAAAGCTCTCACTGAAAACAAATTTTCTTCGTAAATATTCCGTGTGATGTCCAGGGGCTGGACCTGCAGGCCCTTGGGCCTGGTGTTTGGAAGAAAACACTAGTACTCAAGCAGTGGCTTCCCTGTAGATCCTACCCTAATCTCCGGGGAGGCTTGCTCCAACTCTCATAACTACCTGACAGCTTTCAATGCTGTTTTCTTCTGTTCACCCCACCCAGCTTTCCCCAGACACACGGGGTTTTGCTCTGCAGCCTCCACCAACAGGCGCCTGCCGCATTCCTCCCGCTTTTCCATCACGCAGGGAGTTCAGAGCCCATTATCTGCTTAGGGGAATCCCTGCCGTGCGCTTTGGGGGAAGGACGGCCGGGTATTAAGCACAGACACGTCACTAGCTCACAGCAAGGGAGGGAGGCCGCGGGGGGACCCTGCC